TTTTTTTTTTTTCTTTTTCACTATAAATTGCGCGGTGTTTTTTCATTTGACCGATTTTTGTGTGCTTCCTATCACGCGGCAAATTTGAAAGAATTAGAATGTATGTAGGCACATGATAAATTTTATAAAAAATACGCACAACGTTGTGAAATATATAAAGTAATGTTTTTAAAAATATAAGTTTATAATACAGAAGAAATGATTAAAAAATGATTAAAAAAAAAAAAACTTTATGACATAGAAAATAATTAAAGCACGTTTTATCTGTCTTTCTAAGTTAATGTAAAATTTTTATTCTCAGAAGAAATACTTATTGCTGAAGAATCTAATAATCCCACTTGACGAAATGGCATTCCTCTGTCTATTTTCTTGAAAGAGGTCGAATCCACTTGAAATTAATGGCTAACGCAATAAAGCTTAAAAGGTTGAACCTATTTAGGGGCGCAATTATGAAACTTACCTTCACACTTTGTCTAAATTTAGAGCCAAGCGCGTTAATAAACATTTTCATGAGACGAGGAAGTTGTTTTTCCATGCTTTGACGATGTATAAATACTTTAGTCAATTTTTAACTTATATTTTTTCTAACATATTTAATTTTATATAAAAATACCTGTGTGTCTAAAATAATGGAATAAAGTCAATCCAGAAATATTCAGAGATCAAAATGATAAATTGAATAAAAACCAAATGAATCAGTTCCTACGTTTAAAACATTTAAATTATATTTTTTTTTCAGCTCTGAAATTATAAATAAGTTGAACTCAGGAACACCGAAAGTCGAAATGTCAAAGTGAATGAAATATAAAATATACTAAATTAATCACTCTTTAAACGAATTACACTTACTATCTATGCGAAAAATAATAAATAAATAATTCTAAAATGACGAATGAAATACAAGAAAGGCAAAAATATTGAAACAAATAAAATGCTGAAATAAAACCAATTAGCCTGTACTGTATTTTAAATTACACGTTCAATTCAATATTCACGTCGTTTATGCAGCAGGAAATCTATCAACTATTTCCAACATCATATCCACGCTTCATCCGCGCACTCCAACAATAGCACGAATTACATCAATTATAGCCATGCCAATTTTACCTGTTCGCCCGAGGCGTCAAATTCAATTCGTCTCTCGAATCTCGAAAAAAGAAACAAAAAATAAAAATTTGAAAAAAATAGAACGATTCTCTTCGCCGGTGGAATTGATACTGATCGTAATAATATCCGCGATCGTCCAGTTAATGATATCATTATTCCCACTCGAGGCGCATGAATGCTCGTCATCCGTCGTTCATTGGATCATCGTTCGTCCAGCGAACCAGAAATGATCTCGTTGAAAATAGAAAAGCCATGCGCGTTCCCGTTCGAAATCAACTCAACGAAAGGTGAAACGAATCTGATATGTGGAGAACAAAATGCTGCAATCAAACACGCATTCTGTCTAATTATCAGTCCCTTTCTCTCCCGTGGTAACTGCATTTTCGTTTTCCATTACATGGATGACGCAAAACACGCAATCATCTGGAAGGGGGGAGAGGGAAAACATGCGGAGCGTCGCATGCCATCCTACGCAATTTCAATAATCACCAACCCTTCTCTCATCTGTTCACAGACGACATAATAACACCGGTGTACGTGGCGCCGACGAGGTCGCCGACGACGTTCAGGCCGAAGCATCACAAGGAGAACATTCAGGAACGTCCGTCGTGCGACGACGAGGAGGACTGCGAGGAAGGTTCCGGGGAGCCGGTCACCACCGAGGAAATCTTCGTCACGTCTGCCACTGGTCCGTTTTATTTCACTTTCGTTTTGCTTCCTCTGCTATTGACGCGAGCCGATTGTTCGAAATTGAATTCAGTTTATTTCATTCCGTTTTTTAGTTAGTTTCAGTTTATTTCAATTTATTTCGTTTAATTTTTATCACTTGGTTTTTTTTTTTTTTAATCATTTCATTCTATTTTTAAAAATCAATTTTACTTTATTTCATTTCATTTTATTTTTAATGTTTTCACGCGTATGAATAGACGTATTAAATTAAATTAATCCAGCATTGACGATATAAAACACATCAAGGATTTCCATTTCTTTTAATATATTCGAAAAGTATCTGCGAGTCGTGATATATAACTTATTCTACGTGTAACTTATTGATTATCCACGATATGTGTACGTATAACTCGCAATACCAGTTTTTATCGATTTCTGAACGCTTCT